ACGAAACCAGTGGTGAAGCCAACGCATGTGCAATGCATGACAAGTAACAGTCATTGTGGGTATAAAATGGTTCATTCCAGATGCATCTGAACTGCACTCTTGGAAGTTGAAAGTGCGACTTTTTTTCATATTTTTCATACTCACCCGTCAATAATTACTGAGTCTATATCATACCCTAAATAAGGTAGTAAATGGAGAGTTTAGATATGAAAACTAATATTTACCTATGTCACTTTATAAAATATACCACGACCGTTTTGAGGACAATTCGATTTATTATGAGTGAGTGAGTGTGGTTTTACGTCGCTTTTAGCAATATTCCAGCAATATCAGGGCGGGGGACACCAGAAATGGGCTTCACACATTGTACCCATGTCGGGAATCGAACCCGGGTCTTCGGCGTGACGAGCGAACGCTTTAACCACTAGGCTACCCGACCTCCCCTTGTTTATTATGAATAATAAATGAACAGAAGTGAGACGTAAATAAACTATGTTGCCTGTCTGACAGAACCGCGCGGGATCCGGGGGACTTGGGTCGCGGTCTTTAAGTAACGAGTGTACATACTTCCCAGTAAACGAGGTGTACCTAAGAACCTAATCTATAAATAATGAAATGACCACTGCCGTTATGTGCGCATTTCCAGCAGCTAATTTTGAACAATCTATTTTTTTACTGCACAACGTGTGAGAAAGTTATTTGCGGTACAAATAACACGTTGAATGAAACAAAAGGCTTAAAGGCCATTTTTTGTTTTACAATTGATCTTTTGGTCCTATATATATTCGGGAAAATCAACGTGGGGACATCTATGTTCACAGTGGTACAAGTTTAGTATGACGTCAGTATAGCTGAATATACGTCAACAGGGCATCTGGGCGGTGAAAACAACACTATATACAGTTGTTTTGTTTTTATCAACATGGGTAGTATTTGTGTATATGAAATATATATAGTGAAACATATAGTAGCCGTATTATCAACATAAAAGATGGCTACGCGATAAATTGTAAAGAACAATGAAGAACGAAGCGTGGTTTCTTTCACGATAAGACGTTGTTCTACCATGAGGTCATTTCTGGAGACTCGAACAGGCGCTCGCAACTTGATGACGCCGTAAATATATGACGACGTTATTTTTTAAAGGGGATGTCTTTTGAGTTGTTCCCCATAGGTGTATGTGGACAGCGCAGATGAACGCAATGGCCGAACAATCGCACCCAAAAGTGGGAGAGATATGTCAATCGGTATTGGGAGAAAAGGTGCAGACATCGACGTGAAAATTGTAAAAATACCAAACTTAACCCCCCTGTACATAAAATGGACTTGTCCGACATTGCTGAGGTCGGAGTGTATTTGGGAGTCATCATTATTTACATACTGGAAAATAGTTTTAAAGCTTGTACAATGTATTGACATCTTCAAAATGACTTACAAAATATTGATATCCCATATTAAAAATAAACAACTCCCACTCGTCGTTTATTTCGTAAATAAAATGCACTGGATATGTAAGGACATCAACATCCAGTTGATGCCGTGATAGAGTGTGCGTGAGTTGGGTTGAACGCCGCTTTTAACGTATTCCAGTTATATCGCGGCGTGTCAGCTTAATGTGGGAGGAAAGCCCGAAGTGATGCAGATCTCAGACGTTTACCACTTCGGTGAAACCCAGGTCGAACCGAGATTCGAACCCACAATCATAGGTTTTTGGCGTGCCCTAGGGACGCAACTCTGCAAAGCGAATCGCGGCGCCTTAGACGACTGGGCAACCCGTGCCCCCAGATGCTGTAATAGAACTAATATATGTTTCAGAGTGGCATTGAACCAAACTCACTTAGTCATTCACTCAATTTGAGTTCACACAGTTCTTAATTTGATTTTAATCCAACTTATAACTACACGATTATATAAAATTTTCAAATTTCAAGTACTGTGATACCAGTCCTATTCTGTGACTGTCTCATAAAGACGCGATGATGATGACTGACTGGCCCATTGCATGAATAATTGCAAGCGGGCGTGGCGGACAATAACATTTGTTTCAAAACACGGATTGTTATTATTACGCTCTATTCACCATCAGGCCACACCCACATTCACCATCAGGCCATTGCCACATTAACCATCAGGCCACATCCACATTCACCATCAGGCCACACCCACATTCATCATCAGGCCGCCCCCACATTCACCATCAGGCCACACCCACCTTCATCATCAGGCCACACCCACATTCATCATCAGGCCACACCCACATTCACCATCAGGCCACACCCAAATTCACCATCAGGCCGCCCCCACATTCACCATCAGGCCACACCCACATTCATCATTAGGTCACACCCACATTCACAATCAGGCCACACCCACATTCGCCATCAGGCGACACCCACATTCACCATCAGGCCACACCCACATTCATCATCAGACCACATCCACATTCACCATCAGGCCACACCCACATTCGCCATCAGGCCGCCCCCACATTCACCTTCAGGCCACACCCACATTCACCATCAGGCCGCCCCCATTCACCATCAGGCCACACCCACATTTACCATCAGGCCACACCAACATTCACCATCAGGCCACACCCACATTCATCATCAGGCCGCCCCCACATTCATCATCAGGCCACATCCACATTCACCATCAGGCCACACCCACATTTACCATCAGGCCACACCCACCTTCACCATCAGACCACAGTCACGTTCACAATCAGGCCACACAAACATTCACCATCAGGCCGCCCCCACATTCACCATCAGGTCACACCCAAATTTACCATCAGGCCACACCCACCTTCACCATCAGACCACACCCACACTTATGACTCCCCCAGCTATAATGACTTGGATTAAAACCACTTTGAACAGTAACTTCTTTGAGGGGCATTTAGAAGTTGGAGAATTAAGTAAGGATAAGATATATGGAAGAACAACTTCTCTATTACAATTATGAGCGGCGTTTCGGTGTAGGTTCAAACACTTGCTTGATAACGCTGTTAGAACAGGCTACACCGAAACGGCGCTCCTAACTGTAATAAAGAAGTTGTTCATCCTTACATCTTATCCTCATTTTGAACAGTACTTTGGTCACATCACGACTTGAAAGTGATGCAGGTTTAAATCGTTTTCCACCTTATTGAACCCACGAGCACAGGTATGGTGCTGACAAACCTGAATAATGACCAGGGCGAATCTGGGATTCGAACCAAAGCCTAAGGGAGGCAACTCTGCACAGAGCATAGCCGCGCGTTAGACTTGGTTGCCTGTGCTTGCTCCCTAAGGAGATCACAAAGATGATCATTTGCGTTACACAGACGCACGCACACACTGAAGTATATATCATAACTTTCGATTTCCAAGATGAAGACTCGTGAAGATCCAGGATAGAATAGGTCTTCAGCAACCCATGCTTGCCGTAAAAGGCGACAGTCGGGATCGTGTGGTCAGGCTCGCTAACTTTGTCGATGCATGTCATCGTATCCCAATTGCGTGGATCGATGTTCCTGGTGTCAGTCACTGGATTGTCTGATCCAAACTAGATTATTTACAGGCCGCCGTCATATAGCTGTTATATTGATGTGTGTGGCGTAAAACAACAAACAAACAAATCCTAGATCAATGCTTGTAAATCAACCACTCGATGGTTAACATCATTTTGGTAAGAGTTCAAAGGTTAGACTGAATGTCACAGTACATATGCAGGCTCAGCGTCTTGTACCGTCCTCTGTTGAAGCATGCGTGTGGTGTCACTTGAAACTGACGTTTCTTTGTCGCTCGCGTATGTAGTTAGTATCAGGTTTACAAACATGCGTGCTGTACATATGATATGTTCCATTCATACGTTCAATGTGAATTGGTCAGTGGCGGAAGCATCTTGTGGTGAATTAGAGTATTCGTGCGGCATGGGTACGGTTGAGGAAGGAATGGGTGCACATGTATTTGTATGTACAATGTACATGTATGTAAAACCTCAATTAATTTGGACTATTTTCACAAGTATATATGACTTATAGACATAGTTACTATGATTTCACAAGGTAATGGCCTCCGGAGACTTTACTCAACATAATAAAGAACATTACTTAAATGTTCAGCAAGCCGTTAATATTTTTTTCTAAAATAACATTAATAGTATAACCATACTGTTCGGTAACACACATTTGCCAGATGCATTAAATTCAAAGCTAATTGAATTTTTCCATGAGTATTTTACCCAAACAAATCGCTTATACATGTTACATGTTTATACAAATCGATTACGTTGCGTAAAATTTTTTGTTTTGATATTGGTTTGACAGCTGTATTTCAGTTTTGAACGTATTCTTAGCTCATACTTTTGAAAAGAAAATCGCGTCTTATTTAGTAGCTCTCTCATTCCATTTGTGAGTGTTGTTTCATTAAACTTGGGATATTCATTCTTTTTATCATGCATTTGTCCTTTTTCGTTTTTAAGCCCTGGGCTTGAATTTGGATAAAATGTTACTCAATTAAAATAGGCAAAATCCGTGTTTAAGCCCAGGGTTTAAAAACATGCAGTCCCGGTATGCCTGTTGACCTATCGAGGTTTTCATTCATGGAAATAAAAATATTGTTTGAAATATAACTTAATGTTTGGAGCTTAAGTAAAAATAATAACCACCTTACTCACAACCCAAAAATATACCCTATCCACAAACGTCAGAAATAATGTCAACGTGGCACCATTTACGAAGTTAGATTTGTTAATTTTGCCGTAAGGCTTTTAATAAATAATAAATAAATTCCTGTTCAATAAAAAAAATCTGTCTGCTCTGGTCATTATGCCTCACGTTACATAAACGCCCGCGCCTAATCCGATCATTAATGCAAATCTAATCAATTTAATCTTGTTAACATGACAAGAATGCAATTTCCGTACGAAAACACCTGCCCGCTAAGTCTACGTTTGGTCACAGAGCCATCTAGCGGAAGAAATTCGCGTACCTGCTCGTAGTGCATTATGGTCTATATCGGCGATTCATGACGTCACATGGTGCAAACCCAGCATTCGAATTTCTGTATGACGAGTTTGTTTGGCAAAGACAGTGTGTTATATGTGCCCCGATCACCCCATATTCATTCGCTGGATTTTAAAGGATTTATAGCAACTATTACATGTCGATGTGGGTGTCAATAGGCTAAATTTGAGGCAAAATGCTCAAGTGTATACCCCTGTTTCGCGCTTGTAATCGCCAAGTCGAGTACGTGGATCGGCGACATTGGGGATTAACCACTGTCCCTGATGATGTTTTTAGATATGCCAGGAGCTTGGAGGAGTTATTACTAGATGCCAATCAAATAAAGGATCTTCCTCGAGTAAGTATGACCCAAACTACCACCTTGATTGATTCGAGATCGCATGTAAACGGGCCATGTCTGAACTGTGATATGTGTGTTTCAGGGCTTCTTCCGTCTCGTGCAGTTGAGGAAATTGAGCCTTAGTGACAATGAGATCGGACGCTTGTCGCCCGATATTGGCAGTTTCGTCAATCTCATGGAGTTGGATATTAGCAAAAATGGTAAATATATGTGTATATTGTTTAGATTAGCCCCAAACCCCTCTTTACCTGAGGACGGTACTGACACTGCCTAAGATGGCGGCGGCCATCTTTGCAGCCGCATACAGTCGGTGCGTATTACTAAGCGGGGCGTGTTTGAGAGGTATGCGATCAAATGACAGAACGGAGGAGATCGAAGCGCCCACACGTGCTCCTACAACAACATTCCAATCATAAAAACCTCCATTGGTACAACAAGATGCTGAGTAATCTGTCTGAGATAGATGAAACAACACATCACTGGACTCCTATAAATGTAAACAAACCTAAACAAGACACACAAACTAATGGCAAAAGTTGGACAGTTCAATCATTTTGCTCCTAGTAAATTAAATCTTATATTCTCCTCATATATCCATAATAATATAGGACTTGAAGCAATGGTACTATATCCAATGAGCTCTTTAACATTAAAAATTAAAGTTTTAATAGTTGGTATGTGTTATCAAGTTTTGTTTGTGATAAACTCTATTACATCATAACATCACATAGGCAAGTATGTTGTTCCACATGAACAATCATATGTTAAAGGAGTTACTTTATTCAGCTTTTATTTTATGTCACCTTCATGTTATCAACATGATCAAGCTGTTCCTGAACCAGGAAGCAACAGGTAAATTCCCTGTGCACAGGTGCACGACCTTGATGGATCACCTGGCCGGTCAGCTTCCTGGCATGTCCTTAGATAATATCACTTGTACTGATGTTATGTAGTGAGATCACATGAAGGATTTGGCTTTAAATAGGAGTTGGAAAATCTACATATAACTGAATACTGGTGATCATTTGAACATGTTTAAACTGATAACTGATATTCAGCCATTCAAGAATACTACTAATGCCTCACCATTGTTCACAGACGTGCCTCAGATGTATTATCAAATATTTAGGTCTGGACTGTTCATCATGGCGGTGTCAATCTTGAATGGGGTTGTTGTCATAAAACTCACCAACAGCACTTGTAATTCCCTTTAATGATGTAATTGACATGGCATCTTCTACCTGATTTCACTGCCAAGGAACCATGGGACATGCAATAGAACAACATTGTAGCATGCTGACAACTGTAAACTTCCAGCACCATTTGTGTAAAGATTTTAAAATCAATTCTCTGAATGGGAAAACCTTTAATATGTTCAGCAATTACATACAATATTTTGTGTTTTGCAGTTGTATTATGTCTTTTGTCAAAGGAGACTTTTAAACTGACTAGTCAAATATATATTTTTGTGATTATGTTGTCAGTAGTGGTTGTAGACACTAGTGATGTCAGAATTGAAGGGAAATAAGACTTGGTGGTATTGTCATTGAGGTCAAATTGTTGTAACAAATGAATTATAATGTTATTATTATTTTATATATAAGTTCACAGCTGGATCTATGGATCATTACGTCTTAGCAGTGGTACAGAGCTCCAGATAAGCTTTTGGTGTTGTGGGTATTTTACCCATGCATTTTAAAATCATTGGGTATCACTAATTCTATCTGGGTGTTCAAATTTCTGTTACCCACTAGTTTTTACACATGTGGGTATTTAAGTTAAATATTTAAAAACACTATTCATCTAGTTCCTGCAAACTGGTGTCGTGTTGGTTCGAGAACTTTATAGGACTAAAAAATACCACAATACTTCCACAAGAAAGTGTGATGGCAAATGATCATTATGTAACTGTCATCGTGGAGTTTGACAAGGTTGACGGAATGCCCGTTTACAATCTCAAAATAAGTTGCTGATTTGCTAATCGAATACGCAGGGTTTCTTCACAATATTTTAATGATACGCACAAGTTTTATTTTTGTAGCATATCTGTAATGTTCATTGCATATTTGATACGCTTGGATTTTATTTTACTGCATATTTCTGCATTTCTGAAGCGTATTTTACGCAGATACGCAGCTTATCTGGAGCTCTGGTGGTAATTTGGTTTGTTTTCCCAATTCATAGTAGGCAGATACATTTTTATCATAAAAGTTCAGGGAAATAAGTTAACTTGACCTTTAAGCCTAGTTCTCATTTCCTTGTACTCTTCACATGACCCCTGTTGGTAACGGGTGTTACCGTGGACTGAATACTAATGATATACTATCACTCAAGGAGTGTTCATTAAGCCTTCGATGTGTAGAAAGTTGATGTCTGGGTCAAGGGGACTACTTTCATATACCTTTGGAGTATCTCCTAAAATAATTCTGAACACCAAAGTAATGCTTGTATCATCATGATCATTAAAACTCATCAAGAATATTTGAAATTTCAAGATTTGGGAGAGTCATATTTATGGCTGGTGATTCATCAATGGAAGGTTTCTGTTCTGTGTCATGTTCATCTTTAGACATAAGCTGTAGATATGGTAGATTGAGAACAAGGAGTGTGTGGTTATTTGAGTTGGCCTATGACAGATTGAAATGTACAAAACCAGTCAAATTGTCTATTACCAACTGTCCTGTCAGACTGACTATGAATAATAACTTAGTATTAATATAATTTAATATTCAAGAATGTATTGATGGGTTTTACCATGTGAAACTGTAGCCTAGTCATAACAAAGACAGTCAGTTAATCTTACTGGGTTTTCACTTAAGTTACCAAACATCAATCGCGCCTGGTATAAAATTCATGAGAATAAAATACTGCATGTTGTTTGTGATTTATATCCTGTTATTTTTATTATGTTTAATTCACCTTGCAAACTGCTTCCTGATTTCTACCTTCCCTCAGTCACTGAGCTAATCTACCATGTTGCCACCATAGATAACATTTTTAGTCCGCTTGTCCATGTAATGACATGCAGCAAAACTATTAAACGTGTTAAAATGGCTTATTTCTACGAGTCCTTATTATACCTAAACTATTGAGCCATTTTGGCAAGGGCTATGGGGAAAGTGCCAATTTCTATTGCTGTTTTGTAATTGTATACACATGAAATATACACAATGTGTACATTGGATTATGACTGACCTGGCCAGGGTCATTCAAGGTGAAGGTCATGTTGACAGATAGGTATTTATAAACATATGGTGTCAAATGTTTACAGTTATTCCTGATTTAAGTTTGCTGTCTTTACCTTTAAATTAAGGCTTTAATGCAAAAAAAATACTGTTATGGACTGATTTTTTTTGTTTTCCTTGGTTTATTGATTTCAAGTTAAAAAAATCATAGTAGGTAGGTTGAAAAAACTCAGATTAGAGTTTTCGAATGTCATTTCAAAATTAATAATTTTGCCCTCCAAAAGTAATCTCAACATGTTGGCCTATGTGCAATATTTAATAAGTTGGATATCATGTTTATTGTTGTATTTACAATTGTTATTTCTAGTAACATGCAAGTTTGTATGCGGCAGAAAATAGTTCTTTGTGGTTTATTTTTTTTCACTTTTAATTATGTGGGTGCTGGATCTGTAAACTTATATTAATAAAGAATATTACAGAATCTGCAAATATAGTCCACCATTATTGATTTTTCCTTTTTAGCTGCAAAACCAGTATACATGTAGATTAGTGAATTTGGTATGTATCAAGGATGTTTTGAAATAGTGGTACTGGTAAAGCAAAACAGCATATTGGTGTTTTATTATTCAATGTTTCGTCAATTATTTGTTACAGCAATTTGTTCAGTATAGTGATAACACCAACACTTCATAACCACTGTCAAAGATTATTTATTTTGGGCAAACCAATAGTTGTCCTATTGAGCAATTTTAAACAAATAAATCAAATTCTGTTACTTGAAACTGAAGGGCTTTGCTGTAGAGTTTGATGTGTCTTCCTCCAGATGACGAGGAGACGGTTGTTACATGGATGCAGATACTATTTCCAGAATTACAGGCAATCACAACTGCAGCACTCCCTGTACTGCAGTGCTATGTTTAGCATTTTGTTGTGAGTAACCATGACAACTAGAACAAACAAAATTAGGTCTGTTGCATGCAAGGGACATACACAATGGTCATAAATTTGTGTATTTATTGCCAAATTCTCCTTTGGTAAAACTGGAAGTGGAATGGTTATTGAGTAGGAAAACTGTAGCATGATGGGGACATGCAGAATCAATACATCAGTGAGGACCTGGGGCGGAGGTATCTTCCCTGAAGTATTCTTCAGGGCTAGGCACCACTGGTCATATACAACTAGTTAGCCCACAGCTCATTTCAGACTAATGGTTATGTAAAATAAGTACATATTGGGAGAAAACCAGTCCTACATGATCTAGATTTTCACTCAGACTACTGGACTAGTGTCTATCCCTGAGTCTGCGAACAGCAGTTATAGTTTGTATTTTAATCCTTTCAGTGATAGAGATGACCTACACGACTGTGAGAAACTTTCTTTATGTGATCATCATGCCTGCAACACTTATAACGTGTTCTGCCATTTACCGCTCTATGAGGGTGACAAAATAACTTCTTAAAACTTTTGTCCTTGTGGTTATGATAATGGCCCCAAAAGTGCAGAGTTATTTTTTGCGTGTCCTTTTGAGTATGAAGCAAGTAAAAAACAACCATCATTAGGGTGTAACTATACACTGAACGATTGTTGCTTTGAGATACACTGTGTCTTTATATGAGTGTCGTAAGGTTGTCATTATATGAGTGTCGTAAGGTTCTACATTGGTTAATTGTTTGATATCAGTGTATCCATGGAAGTGCGCATTCCAACAGCAAAATGCAGATCGGGAAATCTTCATCCTTCCGTCTAATTCAAGGTTTTAGTTATCACCTCTGGTACTTGAACACTTTGTTGTTCCACTTCACTAATATTGAAGCCAACGTTGTCATTAGATTAGGAATGAAACATAAACTCCATTTGAGTGTTTTAATTTGTTTTGTTTGCTTCGTATGTACAGCAAGTGAATACAAATTCAATCAAGAGTCCTCCCTCCGGATTTCTATCTCCACGGTTTCCACTGATTGTTGTACAACACTTACTATCGTTACATAGGCCGGCATGTATTGATTGCTCAGAAG